GTTTCCTCTGGTTTGAGCAGCAGCTGATTTCTCAAGAGCGGTCACATGCGCCTGACTCGGCCATTTAAGCTGCAGGGTTGGGAACTGCAGTGTCACGGCTGTCCCCGGGGTCAGCACGGGCTGTGACACTCCTCACCCCACTGGGGACAGGGACACCACCAGGGCAGCCCCCTGTCCCAGGGCAAAGGGACAGGGCTGCTTGGTCAGGGGGTCCGCGGGGAAAGCAACTCACCGTTACGGACAGACGGCCCCGTTTCAGCTCCAAAGGGCTCATTTTGCAAGAAATGCAACCACCAGACCCGGTTCTTGCTCCCTTCCAGGGGTGCCAGCAGCCTTCTGGGCCTGGATTGTTTCCCTGTTTATTTATTTTTTTAATTAAAACCAGATACGGGGCTTTCACAACACAAAAAAAACAAATCGAAAACCGCAGCCAACATACCGATACCGAGCTAGAGGAATAAAACCCTTCTAACCTTCAACGTTGGTCTTGGCAGAGCTTTAGAAAAAAGAATCAGGTTAGAAGGCATTAGGGGGAAAATCCAGCAGAGGGGAGGGCAGAAAGGAAGCTGGGCTTTATGGTGTCCAGGAGCAAGAATTCGGGCACGCATGCAAAATATGCTCTCGACTGCTCCTCTTCAAACACTCTGGAAATGCTTCAGCTGCAGCCAAAGTCCTGCTTCTGGAATAACAGGGGAAGGAGGAAAGCGAGTCACTGCCTTTACAAAGCTGAGGATGCTTTTTTATTAGTGTGCTTGGAAAAAAAAAATCTAGAGAATATTTTACAGACATGTCCATAAAATCATTTTATAAACAGAACGCCAGCAATACAAAATCCTGCCGCGCTTCCTCCCTTGCTCCCTACAAAATGATTGTCTCCGTCGTCAGTCTGTGTGTCAGGCGGGGGGAGAGGAGGATAAATAGAAGGGGATGCCCCGTACTCAAACTTTGTTTCCTCCCAAAGTCGTATGGAAGAAGTAAACTTCTGCGACCCTCCTTGGTTTACAAAAATAATTAATCCTCGTCATGAAACCATGGAAGCAGCACCTGAGCCATGAACCCTGGCCCAAGCATTCCTGTCTCTGTGACAGGAGAGCCCTGTTATTGCATGTTAAGCACATTAGTGCCCTTCCTTCATAGAGCTTGAAGCTGCAGCTCCTTCCACACCCAGAAAATAAAGAAAAAAATCACCGACAGGGAAACGCGGAGTTTAAACACAACGTCGTTTCCCCCCTCCTCAACCTTCACAATGCTCGTTCATCCTGCCCACAACTTAAAACAGAATAAACAACGTCCTGCAGCCCCAGGACTAATCTGGGTAAATCTCCCAGGCTGCGACTGCACGCAGAGCAACTGCAAGAGCAACAACTGCACCGCTCATTAATTTGCGGTCGAATTTATGGTTTGGAAAACAGCCCTTTAAGGTCCTTCACGGTTCAGGCTCAGAAGTAGTTTCATACCTGCAGTACCCAGAAAGGAAACAAAGAGTTGCCCTGAGGCACCCAGGGAATTTGGCAAGGGTTGAGAGCAGACACTGGTGCTGCCCAAAAGCTGCTTGCCCACTCCTTCCATCCCACAGACCCACGCTGTGCAGGGAGAGGTTTTTCAGAAGGAGCTCTGTCCCGTCTGCTTTTGGAAGTCTCCTCCACCCAGAAATGCTCCTGAACTGCCCTGGTAGGATCAGTCCTCTCCCACGGTCCTTGTGCCACATGGTGAGGCTACCAAGGGAAAAAATAGGTATGTAGGACCAAGGGAATGGGCACACGGATCTTCCACTGCCTGGTCTATCTGGAGGAAGGAGAAAGCCTCCCCAGCAAGCTCTTAGTCCGAACCTGAGAAAAGATCAAACAGCAAGAGGCAAGGAGAGCCTCCCAGCTGACAGATACTCCAGCCCTCAGCGCTTTCTGTGCTGACAGGGGAAAAACAGAAGGGGACTTTCAAGACCAGTTCTCCTCATGCTGCAGGCAATGAAACACAAGCGATGATGCAACCTGCCACAATCACAGAACAAACGTGGCAGAATTGGGAAGGGATTCCTTTCCCCTCTTCCTTCCCCTTTCTCAGCTTCCAGGTCAAGCAGCCTCCTTGCCAGCTGCAGAAAGCAGATCAGTGAGAAGAATCATCATCTTCTACATTCATCCTGCACCCAAAATTCAAGGGAACAGTAAAGCTCTTCAGCAGATCTTCCTAAGAGCTGACTCAGCGTTTGCCAGTCTGAGGAACATTCCTGCAAGTGTGAGAACAAGGAAGGAGCAACACTGCTGCGCGGGGACTCGCTCACCTGTACAAGCAAAGTGATGACCCAGCTGAGGACTAACCAGCAGTACTGTTCGACGGCCGTAAACTCTCCTTAACCCAGAGCCAGGCAGAAATAAGGCAGACTTGGAGCTGCAAAGCCTTCAGTTTCTTTCTCCCAGCTGCCTATCTGAGCTAAGGATTTGCCATTTACAGAGCAGGTGGCCAAACGGCAGAGGTCAGTAGCCACTGTCACCCTGCAAAATTCCCCCTCTTGCCAAAGAGAGACGGGAGTTTCGGGGTGGACAGAGGCAATCCCAGTCCCCGGCAGTGCCAGGGGCAGAACTGACCAGCAGCAATACAGGTGTTGGGTAGCTACAGCAGAGACAGAGCTCATCTCCCCAGATTCCTGTCCCACCTACGGTCATAACACGAGGAGATGCTGGCCCTCGGTTCTGGCTCCAGCTGCCACAGAGCTAAACTCAATAATCAGAGCTGGATCTACTACAGGGAATGCATCTAGGCGTGCCAAAAAGGAGGGGAAAGGCAGGCTGCTCTTCCAAAAGTGCTGAAATTTCACGCCACCTCCCCTTGCTTTGCGTAAGGAAGGTGGAGAAGAAACAAAAAGTCACTCCCTGATCTTTTACTCCTAGGCTAACGGTACCCTTGAAGCAAAATTGTTCTTGGTAAAGAGCAGAAGTTTAATATTAAGCAGGTGGCTTCAGCGCGTCTCCTGCCGTTAATGGATTACGCATCCCTTTCCTCAAGTGGCAAGACGAGCGGCAGCCCCGAGCCTGGGAAGCGTCTCAGAGGGAGAAGGTCTCCGTTCTGCCCGAGGCGCTCGCTCCGTGCCAGGCGTGGGCATCGTGCTCGGTCTGTGTGTAGCAGCCTTAACACAGAGTCCCTCGGCCCTCTGGGTTTTCAGCAATTCGCTGCCTAAGGGGAAGGGATTTAAACCCTAAAGCTGAACAGTACATGGAACAGATCTATATACATCACCCCAATATATACGCTGGGAAGTAATACTCTAGGTTATTGCATAGAAGGCGGCTTGAGTTAGCGAGGCCTAAATGACAGTCTGGGAGCGTTGTCGGAGGCTCCGGGGCTTCAGAGAGCTGTTGGCAGCAGGTGCAGGCTCTTGCGACAGTGTCTGAGTCTCCTCTTTTCGGGAATGCTCCTCATACCATTCCTGCAACGGGAGATCAAACACACGGAGGGGTCAGGCTCTGCCCCATGCTGACCTTGCAGCTGGAGCCCGTGGGGCGCAGAGGGCACATTTGCTCAGGAGTGGAGGGGGCTCCTTCTAAAGCCAACATCCTGGAACAAGCCGTTTAACTGCAGCCTGGCTGAGATGGACACACCCAGATGTTGTCACTCATGGTCCAAGCAAGAAGCATCAGCTATGGCTCAGCTCCAGTTGGCTGAACTGACAAACCCTGGCTAGGAAACATCCCTCTCTCAGGGCATCCCTCCCAAACGTCTAGGACTCCAGTATCGATGTCCCCGTGGTGTTTGTGGATTTGCAGAGTTGCTCCCTGTCCCGGGAAATGCCCCAGGGTGTTACAGTTATGTTATATCCCTTAATCGGAGACCAAGCAGAACAGGTTTCTCTCTAGATTTCTGCCAATAACATGGGGTTTTTTTGTTAGGGAGACTGAAGACTCATCTCCAAGCTAGCCACCCAAGGAACAACAGATTCAAACAGTTACAAGATTAATTCTCTCACTACTAATTACATTAGCCCATGACCTTCAACCTGGAGATAAATGTCTGGCAGGCACTACACTGTGGCGTAGAGTTCCTGATCTCAGAGGAATGCCTTAAATA